TTTTTTAACTTAATTTATTCGTATCGTACATATTGTTTAAGGTATTCTACATGATTTAATTAAGTTAAAAATATCTGCTGGCGACGAGGTATTAAAAAATTACATTGAAGGAGGAAAACAAAATGCTACTTATATGTCACCACGAATTCAAAACGATATACTCAGTATTGCAGCAAATATATTACAAGAAAAGATTTGTAAGGATGTTAAAAAAGCTTCTGCATACAGTATTTTAGCAGATGAGACTGCGGATATGGCCGGCATCGAACAGTTATCTATTGGTATCAGATTTTTCGACACAAATTTGCGAATAATTCGGGAAGAGTTTGTTGGATTTGTGCAATTACCATCGATGGATGCAGACACAATAGCAGCAAATATCAAAGGTTTTGTTACACAGTTAGATTTGGATCCGGCAAAATGGGTGTGCAACGATGGCAGGCAAAATTGGTGGTGTACAAAAAATTTTAAAACAAACATATACAAAAAGTTTATATTTTCATTGCGCCAGTCATAGACTGAATTTGGTGGTCAATGACCTGAATTCAGTCCCCGAAATACGAAATAGCATTTCGGCTATCAAAGATATAATAAATTTTTTCAAAGAGTCAGTTACTCGCAGAAAATACGCTCCTAATATACATTCATTTTGTGAGACTCGTTGGACAGAAAAGTATCAAAGTATTAGCGATTTCAAAAAGTTTTATTGTGAAATAGTTGAAGGCTTAGAAAAGTTGAGCGTGGAGGGAAATGGTGCCACAAGGAAACTTGCATTCCAGTTACATAGTGCAGCTGGTAGAAGCGTTTTTATAATTTGTATGTGCATAGTTGCAAGATATTATGGTATTCTTCAACCAGTTGTGAATGCTATGCAATCCATAAATAACAACATTATTAAATGCAGAGAGCATATAAGTAAAATTTTGCACACAATTGAAAAGCACAGATCAAAACCTGACGTTGTATTTGAAGAAATTTTTAATGAATGTAAAGAACGCTTAAGTTTGGATGAACTCAAAGCTCAAATCGAGAATGCAACTTCTCTTTATAATTTAGAAGGTATTGAACATGAGCTGGAGCTTTGGTTTAATTGTTGGAAAGAACCGAACAAAGACCCAACAGATTTGGTTCTGGCCTACAACGAGATGGACTTCTTTCCAAAAATAAGGCAAGCGACTGACATTCTACTTGCAATGCCATGCACAACAGCAACAGTAGAGAGATCCTTTAGTACTCTAAGAAGAGTTAAAACATGGTTGAGGACTACAATGAAGGAAAATCGTCTGAATGGTAAGAAAAATGTGGAAAGCTGCTAACTTATTTTTATTTAAAAATTAATATTTTTATAGGTTTGTGTATGTTAAGTGCGCATAGGAAGCTAGTAAAGGAGAAACAAAGTGAGCTGGAGGAAGAAATCTTAAATGCATTTGCAGCAAATCCAAGAAGACTAGCATTGTGAAATAAAGTTCGTATTAGCCCCCCCCTATCCGATTAGCTGCGTACGCCCTTGTTTGCCTTTACACTTAAAAATAAAAGGCCCTGCCAAAGTGTTTTTGCCCAAGGGAAATTTTAGCAGTTGATAAATAACCCACAACGGAAAACACAAAAAGATCGCACAGAGTGATTTGCCACGGTGAGAAACACTCTTTGCTTGAAAGAAGAGTGTTTGTGTCAGTGGTAAACACCATATGGGACACTTGGTGACGGTTATTTTCGATCTCTGATGACCACGCATGAATTGTTCACACGAATTCATTCATATAGCATTCATTCATGAATGCATACAACCGATTTTTACTGGGATACTTTCGTACATAATCTATTGACGCACACCGTCTTCAAAAGAGTCACAACTCAAAATTTGGCATTTTTGAAATTATGCGCTAAAAATGTGCACAGATCTTTTATTCACCTTCCAGCAAAGGCTGGAGCAAATTTTTATTATAATTTGTTTAAATAAACTTAAGGTAAACTCGTCCTTGCCCATATGAACAGCATGTGCTACGAAATAGTTTTTCGCATTTTCTGACGAACTTATTATTTGGAGTTGTGACTCTTTTGAAGACGGTGTGCGATGTGTTGTATAGTCCACTTGGAGCGCTCGCTCGTCGCTCTCTCGTCTTACCTATCAGAGCGAGTATGCGGACATCTACTCACCTCGCACTACGAGCGAGGCAGCACACAACAGCCTCGCTCGTTTAATAGGAGCACGAGCAAACAAGCAGCGCTCGCTCGTTTTCCGAGCAAGCCAAACTTCTCGTGCCTCGCCTCATTGCTGCTACGATTACGAGCTGCGCGCGCCTCGTTGCCTGCGAGGCAGTGAGTAGGAGTTTGCTCGCTCGCTCGCTCGAACTCCGAGTTTTTGCCCACCCTGATAATTGTAGCGCATTTCCTCTTACTATGCATATGCCTAAATGTATGCAACCATTTGTCAAGCGCACACAGGGTGCTTCTAAAGAAAATAAACATTTTATGCTGAAATACACATACAAAGCCCTTCGAAATTTCCTGCTGGGATATGCGTTACAGCTTCGCAAATTTTACGCCTACCGAAACCAAAGATGTATACACATCAAAAATATTTCATCATTTTCCATGGCTAGAAAAAAATATTGCACATGATTTATCTAAAAGCAGATTTTGGAAAAAGATTTGCGAATTTAGAATTATTTAAATGTACGTTTGCATACTGCATAAACCCTTTTTGATGTAACATAATTGAGAATTAATTTAAAATATCTGAAATACTCCTTTTAAGAAAAGCGAAGAAGAGTTGCAGTTTTTGGAATTAAAAGAAGATAAGGCACTGGAAATACTAAGTAAAACTTTTCCATTGCTTGATTTCCGGCAACAAGTACCTGTATACCTTTACCAACGTATAACTGTGAGTTTTTGTACTCTACAATGAAATTCAGGAAGGCAAAATACCTTTCACAATTAGTTGCATTCGCGTAGCTGATAACACAGGTTTACAGGAAAAATGTTATATTGATGCCACTATCCAATTCCTATGTAGAATTGCTCGGTGATTCCCAAAATCGAGTTAATTTTTTTTCTATTTTTACCGTTATTCAGCTTAAAACAAAAGGTAGTTCCGCTTAACCACGTATATCTTTACGAACTAATTTAACAATCTTAAAAGGAGATAAGTCAAATAGAAGCTAAAAAAATTGTCCATACACCATATATACATCACTTTCCGATAGGACTGATAGTTTCTGACGAATTAATTAATCATTCCAGATTCCAAAAAATCAAACTTTAACAGAAGAAAAATTAAAAAAATAACAGGTTCTGTGCCAAATTTTTGCATTTCTGCTAAAGCCTGTTCTGTTAAAAAAAAAAAAACCAAATTACAAATTAAGAAATTCGATGGACAAATAAGAACTAATGAGTGGTCAAATGAAAATACGCAAAGATTTTTTGTATGAAAAATTAGCATGAAAGAAAGCTACTCACATGCCACGTAAACCTGAGTAACACGGTTTTCTGCTCATATTTCATGCAAAAAATCTTTGCGCATTTTAATCTGACCACTCATTATTTCTTATTTATCCATCGATTTTCTTCATCAGTAACTTAATTTTTTTTAACAGAACACAAATGCAAAGTTTTGCACAGAACTTGTTATTTTTAAATCTTTCTTCTGTTAAAGTTTGATTTTTTTTAATTTTTTCATTAAAAAATAAAAAAGGATCAGTCCAGCGCCTTCCTCTTGACCTGCAGGCTGTGTCGGAGAAACAGCCGCTAAACTGAAACGTAAAGTACGTGATATTATTAAGATCACATTCAAGTTTCGGTACACGAAATATTCGTTTTAATTGTATTGAATTGAATTTAATAAATCAATGTGCACTGAAAAATATTAATACATATCAATAGAGAAGCAGATCCACATTAACTTCAATCAGTGGTACCATCAGCTTGCGTCTCAAATTGTGATACCTACCTATTTCATGTGCCTGATGAATTAAGTTAAACATTATTTTTAAAATTCGTGACAACGCTCTTAAATGCAGTTCAGAAATAAAGCCTTTTTAAACCCATTTCATTTGATACCCATATTTGTAATAATTGCTATCACTTATTAAATAATTTGAGTTTACCTTTTAAAATAGGTGGCAACCCTCTTTAATATTATTAATATTTAAACTAAGGATATCTTACCACCTCCGTTTCAAGTCATGTTTTAATATTTCATTTAATTAAATTCTGATTCTAATTCTAAAATTCTAAAACAGGTGGCAACCCTCTTTAAAATATTTTAAAACCGAAACCTTGTTAAACCTTTTTCAACTGACACACATATTGCGATTTAAATTGGATATCTAATTCGCTTAATTCAAGTTGTATGTAATTTCTAAAACATATGGCAACCCTCTTAAATAAAATTTAAAAAAAAAATATTTTGAACGAACGTAAATTTATACCCATACTTTAATAAATAATTTGAGTTTAACTTTTTACACAAGTGGAAACCTTCATTAATGTTATAAATGCTGAAACTACATTTTTTAATAGCCCTTTCTGTGACGCCAATATTTCAGTATTTCATATAATTTGATTTAATTCGACTTTTCAAACATATGGCAAACCTGTTCAAATTTTTTTTTAACCAAAACCTCATAAAATCTTTTTCGTCTGACACTTGTATTGTGATACATATTTAAATTATCTAATCCTCTTAATTCGATTTGAATTTAATTATAAAATCAGGTGGCAAGACTCCTACATGCAGTTTGAAAATAAAGTTGCTTCAGGGCAATTCTGATTTATATTCAAATTGAAGTAGTTTATTTAAGCTTTTTATTGCTTATATTGAATCTAACTTCGTAACAAGGTGGAAACACTCTGCAAAATATTTTCAAACCACAACCTCTTTCGCAGTGTTGCTTTTTTATTTATGTTGATTTTTTTATTTTTAACCAAAATCACCAAAAAAAGTTACCAAATTCAACAAAAAACTACCAAATTTATTTCATGTACAGAACTGTACATACATGCTCTTGCGATGAGCTAATTAAGCAAGCAACATTTTATCAATTTTGGCTATTTTACTTTTATTTATTTAACGTTAATTATTTTTTCATAAGAGTCGAGCTCATTATATAAGAAACACCATATAAACCCGCATTTCAAACTTTGTGCAAAAATGATAAAAAAATCTACAAAGTTTTATCTAAATTGTCGACCTTTTATTCGGAAGAAACGATTGCGCGTCGTTTCAAGAACGCGCTCATAATGGTATATTTTGCATTTAGATATACATCTCCAGCTACATAGGGCTTATGCCACGAAACGACCGAATGCATCTGATCATTCACAGTGTCATTGATGCGTTTCGTTGCAACAGAGGACTATCAGGCGCATAATTTCCCATAGATGGGATGTTCTTCGGTTACTGAAATCATTCGATTTGGTACCATTGGACTTTTTTATGAGGCTACTCAGATGGCCGTTTTTTGTGAATAAACCTTAAACTTTGGAGCACTTTAAAAACAACATTTATTGTCCAGTTTTGCCCAATATATATAAATACATATGCCAACGAGTGACCGAAAATATATCAGAAATTCAACGCTTGAAGGCAAAGCTTTCCACTCTCACATAGACAAAGTGAAGTCCCTTACTGAATGTGTAGCTTTTCGAACATAGGTAGTTATTTACATAGAATTTTACTCATATGGTTACACAGTGCGATCACACAAAATCTTCCGGGGAAGGACACGGTAGATATAGCAATACACACTTTCAAGCAGTTTGTTAGAGATCACACCATTCTAGTAACCAAGTAACGCTGCAATTAGTTTTCGCGTTGCAAAACTTTCTGGTTTAAATACCTGGTACTTGTGGCCACTTCCTAATGTGGAATCATAACCTGTATTGACCTATGTGACATGTACGACCAAATCGAAAATGTTACCAAATTGCAAAATAAATTACCAAATTACCAAATTTGATAAATAAAGAAAAAAATTACCAATTTTGGTTAAAAATTACCAAAGCAGCAACGCTGCTCTTTCGTCTGAGATCCTTATTAGGATATACATTTCAATTGTCTGCCTTTATTTAAGCCGAACTTGCTTTTTGAAACAGGTGGCAACTCTCCTAAATACAACTAAGAAATAAGGCCTTTTCATAACCATTTCCATCGATACCCATAGTGCAATAATTCATTTAACTTAAAAATAATTTGAATTTTATTTATTATCAGCTGGAAACTCTTTTTGAAAAAATAAGAAGTTATTGCACACCCACAGGCCAAGCCCTTTAATTTGATACCTCATTTTGTAAAATCGAACGAACGGTACAGATCTGATGAGACGAAAATGTGTTCGCGTGTTAAGCATTCATATGTACATAAATACATACATACATACATAGATTATCTACTAAAAGAAAAATATATCCTGTGTGTGTTTTCTTTTTGGGTTACCATGGTAGCAATTTTTAATTATTTGCAAAGAAATGTATTTTCAATCTGAAATCAAATTTGTTTGAATGAATTTAAATTAAATTGTGCATTTGAAAACACGTTTACATACCTTTGGCTGTAGCTGAATTTGCAGAGGTGCTGACTGTTATTGGTTCCCTGCAGGGAAACCGCGGACTAGTGTATCAAATTTCTAGTTCCGTACTAGGTCTTTACCGCCAAAAAGGAACTAGTCCGATAGGAAGATCCCCACCAGTTCAAAATCGTCGAAAAGTGGTACTTTTAAAAAACTATTTTTTTTTCAGTTTTTTTTCACTAGAAATCTATATATAAAGTGACGAATTTATAACCTGTTCGGAATCATAGAAAAAGGGATGCAGAACGAACTAGATCTTATTTGTCGAATTTAGAACTAGTTCGGAACTATCGAAAAAGGGATGCAGCGGGGGGCTTGTTTACTTTATATACATATGTGTTCGGCTACTTTTTCGTTCAAATACGTTTCTATTCTGCACTTCGCAGATGCTTTTTCATAGCTTGGTAATACAAAACCAAAATTTGTGTTAACATTTCAACATCTTGGGACCGTCTGGAATCTAACAGCGAGCACCTCTGCAAACTCAGCTACAGCTAAAGGTATGTAAACGTACATTTCTTACAATCATTCAAACAAATTTAATTTCAAATGGAAAATATATTTCTTTCAAAATAACTTAAAATCGCACACACGGAAGAGTCAAAAAGATTGAAAAATCATGATACTTTTTTCTTTCGTCAGTCGATTTTAGAACTGGTTCGGAACTATAGAATATAAGAGTAGTTCGGAACTATTGAAAAAGGGATGCAGCGGGGGGAAATTGAAACTTCCTAGGACATCGCCATGTTAAACTCGCCAGTTGCTTGCATGCAAAAAAGATTTATCGCGAACCAGTACTGGGTCTAAATGTACTAGAAGCGCACCAGTTCAGAACTAGAGATTTTCCCCTCAGGGTTATATTCCAGAAGGTCCCAAAATGTTAAGATGTTAATATAAAAAAAAACATCGATGTTTTTTTCGATTCGATACATCGAAATATAGCATCGTTGGATATCGATGTATTGTATGAAAACATCGATATTTTCGATGCATCGAATGAAAACGTCAACAGTTTATTACAATTAAAAATATACAACAAGAAATGAAATGATTGCCAGCTCAAATACTATGGCAATGTCGCAATTTTGTCGCAATAAAGTTCCCATACAAAAGTAATCAGCTGCGTCGCAATGTGGCAAATTTTGCGTCAAATGCGTCAACTTTGCGATGTTTCATGAATCCCACTAATATAAAGTGTGCCAGCTAGCAATGACATGCAATTTCGGCACACATATTTAGCAATTTATTTGCATATTTTTTATACCTTTCATGAGCATGAAATGGTATTATAACTTTGGTCCGATGTTTGTAAGTACCAGAATAAGAAGAGATAGACCCATTAAAAAGTATACTTAAATGATCAGAACGGCGAGCTGAGTCGATTTAGCCATGTCCGTCTGTCCGTCTGTCCGTCTGTTTGTATGCAATCTAGTCTCTCAGTTTTCGAGATATCCGGATGAAATTTGGTAGGTGAGTGTACTTTTATAATCTATTAATCATTTGTCGGAACCGGAAGAATCGGACCACTATAACATATAGCTCCCATACAACTGATTGTTCAGATATGAGATTTTTCGTTATAACTTCNCCACCCATTATCAGTGGAACAGTGAAAATTAAAAAGATCGGGTGACTATAACCTATAGCTCCCATACAACTGACTGTTCAGATATAAGATTTTTATACCTTTCATGAGCATGAAATGGTATTATAACTTTGGTCCGATGTTTGTAAGTACCAGAATAAGAAGAGATAAATGTATACTTAAATGATCAGAACGGCGAGCTGAGTCGATTTAGCCATGTCCGTCTGTCCGTCTGTTTGTATGCAATCTAGTCTCTCAGTTTTCGATATATCCGGATGAAATTTGGTAGGTGAGTGTACTTTTATAATCTATTAATCATTTGTCGGAACCGGAAGATTCGGACCACTATAACATATAGCTCTCATACAACTGATTGTTCAGATATGCGATTTTTCGTTATAACTCCTCCATTTATGCAGCTGGGAACATGAAATTTTGCAATACTTCCACCCATTATCAGCAGAACACTCACGGTGAAAATTAAAAAGATCGGGTGACTATAACCTATAGCTCCCATACAACTGATTGTTCAGATATAAGATTTTTCGTTATAACTCCTCCATTTATGCAGCTGGGAACATGAAATTTTGCAATACTTCCACCCATTATCAGCAGAACACTCACGGTGAAAATTAAAAAGATCGGGTGACTATAACCTATAGCTCCCATACAACTGATTGTTCAGATATAAGATTTTTCGTTATAACTCCTCCATTTAAGTAGCTAGAAACATGTTATCACTCATTATCAAAATAATATTTTCAGTGAAAATGGCGAAGATCAGGTCGCTATAACATATAGCCCCAATAGAACTGATTGTTCAGATATGCGATTTTTTGTTATAACTCCTCCATCTATGCAGCTGGGAACATGAAATTTCGCAATATTTCCACCCATTATGAAAAAAATACTTTCAGTGAAAATGGCGAATATCGGATCGCTATAACCTATTGCCTCCATTCAACTTATTGTTCAGATATGAGATTCTTTGTTATAACTTATCCATATATGCAGCTAGAAACATGAAATTTCGCACTTTTTCACTCATTATCAACAGAAAGTTTACAGTAAAATTAACAAAGTTCAGGTCACTATAACCTATTTATTGCCCTCATACAACTGATTGTTCAGATATGGGGTTTTACTGTAAAACGTTCATGAAAGGTATGAAGCCTTCGGCATAGCCGAAGACAGTGCTGCTCTTACTTGTTTTTATTTGACTTTTATGTTAACCCTTTTGAGTGAGGAATTATGAAGTTTTTTACATAAACAAATGCCAATAAATTCTTGCCGCTTGTGCAAAAGCACATATAACGTTGTAGTACTGGTGTTTTCAGTCCATCAGGATAAGGATCTAAGCCGAATTCGGGCAGAGGTATGCAACAAAAACAAAGGGTTAGTGCCAGAATTGAAAAAACTACGAAACTAACACATTGATTTGAAATAAGCTTACATAAAACTGGCTGGCACACTTTATATTATTTCACTATGTTGGTCCAAATTTCCAAATGGTTTTAGAGTGTCAATATCTTATCAATTAATAACATATTGTAGATGGTATTTTGGCACTAAACGTTTCTACTAAAAAAGTAGCAATTTATTAGTGCAATAACATTTTAGATAATATTAATAATATATATGTATATTCTAATAGTGCATAAATAGTGAAAATCCACATTTAGAATAGTTTCTAGAGCAAAGAGTTTGAAAGCATACAAGATAATTTTAGTCCGTACACAGTCGATGCATCGAAAAAAATACATCGATATATCGATAGAAAACATCGATGTTTCCGATGCATCGATGTTTTTTTGCATCCCTAGTTCTGCGCAAACATACTTCCGCCGCTGTTTTCAGGCAACTCCAATTAGTAAGAGTTATAATCCTTAAGCGCAAAGCGAAGCGAAGGCCGCCTACGCAGAAAGGAGTTCTGCGCAAAAATATTTCCGCCGCTCTTCTCCGGCAACACAGAAAGGGGAATTCTACTTATTATTCTGTAATTGAACGAACTGTTTAACTAAACGAGTATCGGTTAATTGAACCAAAAATTATCCACTTTCTTAAGTGCAATAAAGCGGGGAATACTGTATTTGGTTTTCTATTAATTTACGTAACCTGCGTTTGCTACAGGTTGAAAAAGCATACTCAAATTATGGACACGAGACTACAGAACCCATTGCAGCATTGCAATGTACAAATAAATGTTTTTCGCTGCTAAATTTTGCCAATCACCGCAAACGCAAAAGCAAAAGCAGAAATAACCGAGCGCGCACGAAATACCACTTACACACAAAGCTCACACATATGCTGTCGATTTGCTTCATTTTTGCTCTAGGAAAAAATTAAGTTAATTTTTGCTCTGACTTATAATATTCGTCCTTTTTGTTCTGAGCGTGTCAAATAATCATGCATAACAACCATCACCTTTCATCATTCTGTCCATGATTTATCCACATACATAGGATGACTTCCAAAACGTATCAATACAATGTTTGCAAACTGTTATACCGCGGTATGCAAACTGTTTGTAAAGGCAGAGTTGTGACACATTGCAACCTTATACATTGCATATTTTAAATATACAATTTAGCAATGAACATTTTTTCGGTGACAGGTAATAAGATCAACGGAAATTAGGTCAATTGACTTTATTTCTCACTCTGGTGCGAAATAAAGTCAATTGACATTATTACCTTTTTAAAAACGAAATAAAATCCATTGACATTATTTCTCTTTCAAACATTAACTTTGCTTAGCTTCGCGGCAGCGCGCGTCAGCGCACCACACCGCGCGCGCCGCACTCGCGCTCGCGCCCTGCGTACCCCGCGCGACCAGCGCGCACACCACGTCACGCTACGCCGTGATGGTTCCTAAAATCGCTAATTAGTTTTTGTGCAAATTGCAGATAGAGGGTATTAATAAATTCAAGCCCTCGATATTTCACATTTTTATATTTGTAAGTTATTGGAAGCAGGGATGCCAACTTGGCTCAAACCGTGCCATTGGTCCCTATTGTACTTCAAATGACACTTAATTTTTCAATTTGTAAAAAAATAACATGTCAATACATTTTTGTGAAATCATTTGCGTGCACTTCTTTTTCTCAACTAAAATTTTTTAATTTATAAAGGCTATTCAACTGGTTTATCTTATTTTATCATTGCGCTTTTGTTTGGAAAATATAGCTTTATTTTATTGCTAAATGTGAATGATTAAAACGAATGACACCTTTATTGACACTTTTATTTTTTTATTTGGCACATTTATGCACTTTTTATCCTCAATATGGCACCTAATAACTAAGGATAGTTGGGTGCCTTGATTGGCAGATTTCTGCTGTGTTTTGGCAACAACTTGTCTGCAGTAAAAAATCATATAATTTGTGTTTCAAAAGTGTGTGAAAACCAATC